CCGCAGCCTTGACCTGCTGGGCTCCAGCGATCCTTCCGCCTCAGCCTTCCAAGTAGCCGGAATTACAGGTGCGCGCTACCACGCCTGGCTGAATTTTTGATTTATTGTAGAGATGAGGTCTCGCTGCCCAAGCGGGTCTCGAACCCGCGGGCTCAGGCAATCCACTCACCTCAGCCTCCCAAAGGCGCGGGATTACAGGCTGAGCCACCAAGCCTGGCTCACCTTTGTTTTTTAATGTTTATCAACTCTGAATCAAAGTCTAGTGTCATATGTGAATCAAAAGCTATTATTTTTAGCTGGGTTTCTGTGTGTATGTGTTAGAAAGAGGAAAATAGATACTTTTTTGGAAGAGAATCTTAAAAAAATTTTTTCTTTTGAAATAATTTCAGATTTACAGGAAAGTTGCAAAAATAATAGACAGAATTTCCTTATACCCTTTACATAGCTTCCCCAAATGTTAACGTCTTATATAACCATGGTGCAATTATTCAAACCGGGAAATTTACATTGATACAATTCTATTAAGTAATCTGTAGACCTTATTAAAATTTCACCAAATTTCACTCACTAATATCTGGAATCTAATCCAGTATCCTACATTGTACTTAGTTGTTATTTTTCCGGAGTCTTGTTTAGTCTTGGTGTCCTAAACGGAATAGGTGCAGGCAGGTGAAATAAAGCAGGCCTGTTAGAAAGCATGCATGTTCCCTAAATTAATATTCAAAACTCCATGCCTTAAAAGAGTGTATTTATCTTCTTTTTCTATATAAGTAGACTACTGTTTGATTAAACCGTGTAACCAATAAGGTATCTTTTAATTACTTTTATATGCCATTTCTAAATCATCAAGGAGTTACAGAATAGAGGGAATGAGCCAGGTAAATTTTCTTATGATCTCTTTTGTTTGGCTATGAATCGGCAATGGGAATCTCTCAAAAACAGAATGCCAAATGCCAGGTCCTGTCTGGATATTTTGGAGGAAAGCGTAATGACCTTTACTCTACCACATGTGATGAACTTGTGAACAGAAAATCTGTGTCTTGGGAACCTCCCCAGTCCAGGGCAATCTCTCAGCTTCTAGAGCATTTTTGCTAAGAAACCACAGTATGTCTTAGACGTTATTCCAGCCCAAACAAGCAAAATCTTGGCAGTATCCAGGGTAATGAGAGTAGATAGGAGGCATGAGTGAGAGAAGGAAATATTCTTATTTTGCCTCTTTGGTGAGTCCATGGTGAAACTCAGCTGGGTGATTGTATGCAGTCAGTACAACAGCTTATTAGACCTGGACCTGGGCTGGTGTAGCCAGACTGTCATGTCTCACCTCTCCTGTACCTCCCTGTGGAGTCTTGAGGCCATGGGGTTCCCAGACATATCCCCTCAGGGAGGGCCTCATCAGCTTCCTCATATGATCTGTATCTTTGAGAAACTAGTGAGGATGGACTGGTGCTGTGCTGATTTTCCACTTCAAGTCTGTTTGCAACTTCCAGAAGTAGCTAACTGCCCTAGGTCTCAAGGAGGGAGGCTTCACAATATCTCTCATAACGTGAGTTCGAGACTCGCCTGGGCAACTTGGCGAGACCTCATCTCTACAATAAATAAAAAATTAGCCGGGTGTGGTAGCGCGCGCCTGTAGTTCCAGCTACTTGGAAAGCTGAGGCGGAAGGATCGCTGGAACCCAGCAGGTCGAGGCTGCGATGGCCGGGAGCGGCCACTGCACTCTAGTCTGGGCGACAGAGTAAGACTCCAACTCAAAAAAAAAAAAAAAATTAAAAAAAGTAACTGAACTACTTGCCTGTAGGTAAGTGGTGTCCTGCATCTCAGGCCCTCTGGAGGTGGCCTGGTCCTTGTTTAGCTTGACCCTTGGTTAGCCTGGCCATTACAAATGCAGCTTGTCTCCTAAGGAAATCCCTCTCATCTTGAGGAGTGTGGCCCTTCATTCTTCTCTTGCTGAAGTGTTTCCTGTTCTGCTTTGTGACTGAGAGTAGTTTTATAATTTTGGTTCTTGCTTCTCCTGGAGTCTGAAGTAAGGTGATTCTTAAAAGACAGTCTTGTGCATTACCTTCTTAGCCTTTGAATTTGTAATCATTCCATTGACTTTTTTTTTCTTTACCCAAACTCAGGAAGAGAATAAAGAATCCATTATTCTTTTCCTGATCCTTGTTAAAATAACTCCTTCCTCCCATCTTCCTCTTACCCTTCCATAGTGAACTCACAGTGTTTCTCTGCATCTCTTAACCATCATGGTCAGGATTTACCTCTGATTCAGTAGCTAATGTAAAAGTGATTCAGTAGCTAATGTGAAAGCCACATGAATCTAATTCATTTGTAGGTCTCTCTTTGACTCTGTGTGCAGTTCAACACGAGAAAAAGAAGAACAAAATTTGGGATAGCCATCTCTTGATCTCATGTTCCAGGGCCTATGTGGAACCTGGCTGTTCTGTGTCTTGTAGTCATGGCTGACTGCTGTCCTTGATGACAGCATTGACTAAAGGGAGAAATTGGCTGCAGTAGCAGAAATCATTCTACCCTCTATTGCTCAGGGAGTCTGTATGTTGAATTATTGCTTCTTTTTAGATTGGTCCCAGCCATACCTGCAGTAATCCTGAAAGCCTTCATGTCCCCATCTGTTATTTTGGGTCCACTTTTTCATCTAGTGTGCATGGTAATGGTAGAGCAAACTCTCATGAAGACCCTCTGGTGAAAGTAGATTGCAGAACTCAGTTTAGGCCAAGTCTGCCATGAGGCTTCTTATTTCCACCCCTGTCCACCTTGTGCTTGATCTTTACCCCTTTTGGCCAGCTAGTGGGAGAAGTGGACTGGAGCAGGTCTGGACTGGCCAGTGAACTGCAAGATGAATATCCCACTGCATGCAGAACAGATAGGGCAGGAATTCCCCGAGGAGAAGGCATCCCAGAGATGCAACTGTACAGTGACAGGAATGCCCTGAGGAGAGGACATATTCATGTGGTGACAGAAAATTCTTTTTTTTTTTTTTTTTTGAGTTGGA